AGAGCCTCTGGTGCCGTCATCGTCATTGGGGGGAGGATTTTATACTGGTTTTGTATCTATATTTGTACATATCTGTATGTATTTCATTATTTTCCTGTTTACATTATTGTCCTGCACCATCAGTATTATTGTTTTATTAAACCTGTCAGTTTTATTTTCCAACCTGTAAAGTCTCTCTCTCTTTTTCGTTTTTCTCTTCCATTCTGGGGAGGGCAGAGGGGTTCACAGAGAGCGTCTGGCCAGGGTTTAGTGGCCATCCCAGCCCTAAACCACAACACTGGGCAGCTTGGGATGGCCCCAGCCACGTTGCTTCCCACCTTCCGGCCACCAGACACGTCCCATCAGCCACGCTGTGTTGGTCGGTGATGGGACCAGAGTACAAAACCGGGCCCTGAGATGATCCAGGTTGAAAATAGCCACATGCTTCCAGCACCTGAGGAACTGGGAATGTCTGATGCCAGTCCTGTTTTGGGTCCCGATGCCACGTGAAGTTATAGCACCTGGCTGCCCCTGCAGCACTGAGGTTTTCCTTCACTTTTAATGGGCCTCAGTTGGCGTCGTTAAAAGTTTTTGAACTGCAGTCTCAACTTCTGAAAGGGCTCCAGGGGAGCTTGTTGTGCTGCTGCAGCACCCAGGGACAGGAGCTACATTTGCCCCTTTCCAAAACAGGGAGCAAAACCAGAGTTTATTCCTCTGCGGGGCTCAGACCAGCGCAGAGGTGTCTACAAGCAGTAATTGGCAATTTAGGGATGACTCAGTCAGGGACTTGGAGTCCTTTGTGCCTGTGCTGTCGAGAGCCAATGCTCATCACCCAAAAACCCGGTGAGGGGCTGTCCCCAAGGGGTGGGGAAAGGCTCAGCTGGGTCCCACGTCCACTTGGGGACCCTCATGGTGTCACTCTGCACCATCCAAAATGGACAGACAAGACCTGGTGGCTCCACATCGTTGACTGTACCAGTGACAGTGGTGCCAGCAGCCGTCACAAACAAAGGGACATCCCAAAGGCTCTAACAGATGGTTGCTCCAGGCAGCTTGGATGGACACCCATGGGCTCAGGTTTTTTGGGGTCCCCAAGACCCCCCACAGGTCCCGAGCAGCAAGCGGGAGCTGGCTCATGGGCTGAAATCAAAACACCTTTCTCGTGTCTGCCTTAGAACCAGAGATGGTCCCATACAGTCACATTTATAAAGGGGAAACATGGAAAGTCAAGAGGATTAAATATCACACAGGGCACAGAGATTGCTTGGGAAGCCCGGCTTAGCTTCACGCTGAGCGCTTAAGCTGAGATTAGCGCGTACAAACCCCAAACAACGTTACAAAGGGAAAGCCTACACAGAAGCCAGCACGATTAAATCAATGTAAAGCAGCTGATCAGAAATAAGATAAATATTTTTAAAACTTGCTGAAGCTGCATCTGAATGAGAGGAGCAAAATGACCCCTGGTAAGTTAACTGGCCACAAAACAAGGCAAACAACCAAGACACCAGAATTTGCCACCTTGTTCCTCTATCGTGAGGAATGACGCCTGCACTTACATATATTGATTATTTTCAGAGGCACTGGGAGGAGGAATTTAACAGCAGAGATTGCTGGCCAGTAGCTGGTCCAATTCAGAGCGAGTATTCAAAGTAAATAGGCTGGTAGAAAAGTGAAGCAACTCCACATCCGCCTTGGCTCAGGAGGATCCCCCGGCTGGGCGATCCCTTCTGCAAACACTTGAAAAGGTCAGGGCGAGCAGTGAGACAGCAGAGGTTGCATTGCCAGCCAAAGAACATTGGCTATGAAACTCAAACTTGTCATCTGCTGCTTGGACTCACCTTTGCAACCTCTGTTTTTCAGGAGAAAAAGCAAATATGCTGGCATTTAATGAGGTTGGTGGTGGTGAAGAAGCTACAGACAAGTAAATATCTACTAGGCAGTGTGGGCAGATACTCACACAAGCTGTAATAAATGGCAGACCTGGTTGACGAATGGACAAATTATGTCACTTTGGAGACTGAACCCAACTTTTGCACAGGAAAATTGCACCTCAGAAATCGAGATTCTGGAGGAAACAACAAGATATGGGTGCTGGACATCCCCTGGGCAGTGTCTTCGTCAAGGAGAAGTTATTAGAAGATCAGGGAGCAGGACAAGGCACCGCTGTTGCCTCATGGATCCAGGTCATACCTACACCTTCTCAGATGGGTGGGGGTCCAGGTTTGGGCACCCAGAACCAGTAGAGCCATGGCCTAAGTAGGGGAGGGAGAGAGGAGGATGAGAGGCAGAGCTGGGAGAGCAAGGAGCCTTGTTAGAGATTTAAGAGCTGGAACGGCATGAGGAGGATGAGTAGAGATCGTTTCACATCACCAGCAAGTGCTGCAGCCAGCGGATGTGAGTCTCCAACTGCTCCTCATGCATCAGAGGCTGGTCCAGCGCCTCCCTTGCCTCAGCACCCCTCTGCTCTCTCCAGCAACCACTGGAATCCTCCAAATCCCTGCCAGCCCATCTCACCACGACGCCTGGTGCAAGAGGAAGCAAGCACGGAGATGGGCAGTGAGGCAGAGACGGGTGATGGAGCAGAGATGGGGGATGGAGCAGAGACGGGCGATGGAGCAGAGACGGGCGATGGAGCAGAGACGGGTGATGGAGCAGAGACGGGCGATAGAGCTCCTTGCTGTGGGGTGCCAAGAAGCTGCCTCAGCCCAGGAAGCCCTTAGAAACATTCAGAGAAGAGAAGTCTCGTGTCATTAAATATACAAGGACATCTGGCCAGGTTTGCTGGGGGATAAAGGCGTGCAGGTACAACCCCCTCTTCACTCCATCCCCACACGCTTCTCCTTGCCCCTGTACCCCTCTGTGGCTGAAGGCAGGGTGCTTGGACAGGGGCTGCATGGTCCATTGGGCATTGGACGAGCACAGGGACAGGCTCAATGGGCTGAGGGATCACAGGGGCTGCATGGGGAGCCTCCACCTGCTCTGCATGAAGGGGACTCACACCCCAAGAAGAGCTGCAATTGCAGCCTGTGCACATCCTGCTCCGGGGCACAGGACAAAAGGAGGAGTGGAAAACACCAGTGGCAAAGATAAATGATCTCAGCGCTGCCCCACAGGGCAGGAAATAAATACTTGGCTGGGACACAATATGGAGACACTGGGACTCCCAACACACAAAGCCCTCGGCGAAGGGCGTTGCTGGCAGCAGGATGTTTTAATCTGCATCGATGCACCTTACCAAAAACATGCCTCGAGGCATAGGTGCGTGTGGGCCTGGCACTCTCAGGAGCGTGGCAAAGGCTGAACTGCTCCAGTCCAAGCTGCTAGGGATGAATCCTGCTGGAGACACCGGGCTCCTTCCAAAGAGGATGGAGATGATGCTGTGGTAGGAAGTCCCAGTGAGGTCCCTTGTCCTGCTGTGGCCAGGACATCATCTCTCATAGTCCTCAAGGGCAGGAGAAGCAGTTTCCCAAATGCATCTTCCCAGTCCCTGGGAGGAGAAAGGAGCAACCGGGAGCATCCCGAGATGCTCAGCCGCTGGGACGATGTCCCCCTGGGGTACCAGTTACCGCCACACAGCAGCGAGGTGGATCCTGGGCTGAACTGAATGCCAGGCTGGCCAGGGACAGGGTGGAAAGGCCATTTGGAGAGGATTTTGGAGGAATTTCCTTCTACAGGAGAGGCAGAAGCTGCCTCATGTCCTGCCAGACCTCGGTGCCTGCTTGGTGATGAGCACACGTGAGGTGCTGGGGCTTGACATGGTTTACCCTGGGCGAGCTGTGGTTCCTTCTGGGTGGATTTGGGAAGCTGCACAGAGCAGGAAAGGAAGGATGGAGTGGGATTCCAGGAATACCATTTAAAAGCAAGACAGCCTCTGGAGGCAGATGTCCACCACCACCAGATAACCCCACTCTGGGGTGGGCATTCTCTGCTCAGTGCCCAGGGGCAGAGGCCACGTGCGGCTCCACACCAGCTCCCCACGTTGGGGTCTGGAGGTGACACACATCCACCAGCCCTGCAGCACTGTGGGTATGAGGTCCCAAAGCTGATTCTTGCCTTGGTCCAGCCTGAGCTGCCATTGCACAGGGTGAGTGGATGGCAGGTGAGATGGATGGTGGTGGTTGCAGCCCTCAACCTCAATTTCCATGGCCAAATCCCTACGCTCGTGGGGTTTCCAGCCCCACTGCATCTCTGCCTGGCCATGGTCCTGCCCTGTGGGATGCACCCATCAGGGAAAACCCTGGTGGGCTCCGAAAAATGCCCTCACTTAGGCAAGTTCAACTCAGCATCGCCCCTGGCTTTCCACCACCCACAGACATTGAAAGGACCACATGCCCGAGCACCCCAGGTTCTCCCCAGACAGCTACAACAAGCCCTGGCGCGAGTTTCTGTTTATTTGGCAAAAATGAGAGGCTGTGCACTGCAGGAGCAGGGACGTATCAAAGCTCAGAGGAGGGATGGTGGAGCAGCAGCCTGCAGCTTCAGAGCACGGGTCTTGCATTGCTCAGCACGAACAGCCAGTCTGCACCTCCTAGAAAACAGCCAGGAGGGGTGAGCTGAGGGGTTGAGGTGAGGAGGCTGATGGAGAGGGCCCTCTCCACCAGGATCACTTCTCTTCCCGGTCTCCCCAGCTCTGCAGGGTGAGCCATTTCCAGCAATGGGTTTCTGTGTCTCACTAATTTCACCAACCCAACCCCTCAGTTTTGCTGGTACAAAACCCCAGGGTCCTTTTGGCAAGACCCAGCGTCCCAGCCCACACTGCTGGGTGAGCTCTTGCAGCCGTTTCTCAACTGAACCGGTGGTTTTTTGGGTCAAATGCCCCTGCTCACTGCCAGGCTGCACCCTGGGGGTGTCCGATGCTCCAAACGGAATGGTCCTACCTGGATGAGAGCTCCAGCACGGGTTCAAACAACTCGGCCCCCCAGAGTGATCTGAGGAGTTCATGGTGGCCCTTGCTGGGGCACCAGGGGGGCAATTTCCAGCTGGGGACATTGCAAACAAGGCGTTGCGCTGCAGCAACTCACCTACACTCCATTGAGGCTGCATTCCTCTGCGAAAGCAAAGAGAAAGGCTGAGCCCGGTGCTGCGGCCTGGCGAGTGCCATTTAGCACCCAAAATAAACAGCTCGGGAAGGAACTTGAGCGAGGTGAAAGCCACGACGTGCCAAGCCAGGTTCTCCTGCCCGCTCAGACCACAAAGCGGTGGCAGCGATGGGCTGAGCTGGTCCTTGCTGGCACATCCTGGCTCCCCGTATGGACCGAGCTGGCCCCACACGGCGCTGGGCAGTGCTCACCCTGGCTGGGCAGTATCCAGATGGTGTCCTCGGTGAAGCCCTTCTCCCTCGCAAGCTTCTTGAACAGTTCAGTGGTTTGGGGGCTCACCTCCTGGGTTCTGCCTAAAGGCAAAGGCAGGAGTTAAGCTGCAGGCTGTTGCTTGGCCCTGCGAGCGCTCCCAGGTGTGGACACAAGGCTCAGTGTCTCCTCTCTTGGTTCCCATCCTCACTGCTTCTGCCCCCCCCTTGCAGCAGGACCCCCACTCTTCGCCCCATTTCACCAAGGGACTGAGCCCAGGCTGTGTGCTCCCAGCACAGAGCAGAAGCCTGAGCCCCAGCCCCAAATCACTGCCACTGCCCCAAATCGCTGCCCCTTCCCCCGCCGTGCAGGACACACACAGCAGCCCCAGCTCTGCTCCCCACAGAGGGCAGTGGTGAGGAGGGGTCTCTCCCACAGGCCCCCTGGCTCCTGGTCTCCTGGGAAGCCCCCCAACACCTCCCACCCTGCTCAGACCACCCTGGCTACGCACTGTAGAGCCGCAGCATGTACAAGGTCTTCCCGTCCTTCACTCTGGAGGCAAAGATAACGGCGTAGGTCTTGCCATCGGTGTCCACCACCTGCACTGTTTTATTGCCTCGCTCTGCAAAAGCACGCGGAAGAAAGCAAAATATTAACTTCCTCCTCCTGGGAACCCCTGCGCTGCCAAAAGGGCTGTAAGTGTGAATGGGAGTGTGAGGGACCCAGCCTGCCTTCTGTGTCCCTCCCTCCTGCTTTTCCCTCTTGCTAAGGCTCCTCTGAAAACCTGGGGGAGCCCAAAGATTGCAGCAGAGCTGCGGGACGGGACTGTGAACACAGGAGGGGCTGGGGACGGTCACTGCAGGCAGCGGGGTCAAAACAACACCGGGGTAGGAATGGTGGGAAACTGCTCTTGCTTCACCCCTTGGGATCACCCATCCACAGCCCCTTTGCAGGATGAGGCTGCTTTTCCCCAGGGCTTAAGTTTGGTCTGGAAGAGCCACGCTGGGACACTGGTGCTGGGACATGGGTGCTGGGACAGACCAGCCGTGGCACAGACCAGCCCTGGTAACCAGCTCAGAGGGATGTCCCACCCAAGACCCCAGGCATCCCTGGGGGCCAGGTGCCCCAGGATGGTGAGCTCCTTCACACAGGGACAGTGGGAAGTGTCCCTACCCTGTGGCCGGGCTCCCCCCACTCACCAGCGCTGTAGTATTCACCCGGACCTGTTTGCTTGTAGATGGACTCTGATCTCCTGCAACCTTCCGGGCTGCAAAACATTGAAGGGTGCTCGGGCTGGGGTAAAGTGACCCCCTGTGCCATCCCATGGGGATGCTGCTATGGGGTCACCACTCCAAACATGACACTTGCTGTTCAGAGACCAGGGCAGGGGCAGGAGCCACCCTTGGAGCACTGGGTGCTGGGCTGACGCCCCAGGATCATCCCATGGGGTCCCACAGCCGTTCCCTTGCTCATGCCCTGAGCTTCTGGAATGAGGCTGGTCCTGCTGGGAAAGCTTCAGTTGTAGGGTCCCCCATCACCCTGCTGGGAGCAGCAGAGTCCCAGCCTCTGCAGTGGGGACACCTCCTGGCTGATGCTGCCCTGATGAGGGGTTCCCAGATGCAGCTCTCCCGGGCCCCTGTTTTAATCCACGGGGCTGGTGGTCCTCTCCCACCCCCTGTCCAGGTCTTTGGTGGGTGATGGTCCAGGGAGGAGGTTGGGCAGTGAAGCCCGTGGAGAAAAAGCGCTTGGCACTTACGTGGGGATGGCAAAGGAGACCTTCAGGTCGCCCTCCCCCAGGACCGCGATGTTGGCCATTGCCATCTTCAGCTTGTCCTTCTTTTGGAAGTAGGTCTCAGAGTTGGAGGCCATAGCGGTGATGTACCATTTCCCTTCAATCTGTCAGCAGCAAGGGCAGGCTGTGAGTCCGGAGAAGCAGGCAGGGGCTGTCCCCTCCTCTGGGAGGACACCCATATCCCCTCTGTGCACCGAAATCCCCACTAGGACACCTACACCGGAGCTGGTGACTGTCCTCACCTGGGTCACAGTGGCTGTGGTGTCCCCAACCGTTCCCACCCTGGTGACCGGAGGCCACACTCCCCCGTTCCCTTCCCTTCCCCGGGATGCTGAGGGTCACCTTGCTCTTGTCCACTTCTGCAGCCCCGAGGTCCGCAGCCTCCGTGCGCAGCAAGCAAAGCAGGGCCAGCCCCAGGCTCAGCACCGCGGTCCTCATCTCGCCGCAGCCTCCTCCTCCGGCTTC